TTGACTCTTCTTTCCCTTTTGTGTGTCGCAGATCGTCATAGACGACGAAACCATTCTGATCCTTGGGGGCTGCGGGGGTCCAAATGCGGTGAGTAGACAAAGCTAGGTTCACTGGCCATTTACCCTCTTTTTTTCCTGCTCTTCCTAGACTTTTGTGTCTGGCGCGGCGTCTCTTCGAAAAGGCTCCAGTCAACACACGGGCGATGCACAGCTTGCTGGCGTCCTTCAGCCGCCAGGCCCAAGTTGCCCCTAGCCAAGGTCTCCTCCTCCTCCTCAAGGAGATGAAGCAGAAACTTGCCTTGTGTACATCTTCCTCAGGAGGAGGAAAGATGGAGCATGCTGGATGGGAGAAAACTTTTCAGGATTGGAAAGTCTGCTCTTGGGAGGAAAACTAATGTAGAGGAAAGTCAGGCAGTCGGTGTGTGTGTGTGTGTGTGTGTGTGTGTGTGTGTGTGTGTGTGTGTCCCGACCTATGGGTGGTCTGAGCTTTCACCCGACTTGCAGCTTTTCAAGGACGCCTGGCTGCTGCATATGCGCTCCGACCGTCCCTGGGCGTGGCAGCCCCTGAAGGTGGAGAACGAGGACCACGGAGCTCCTGAGCTGTGGTGCCACCCGGCCTGCAAGGTGAACGGGAGGGAAGGGCAAAAGGAATCCCTGGTGAAAGTCTCCTTTCTCTTCCGCACTTCATAATAAGCCAGAAAGGGGGGTGGCAGCTCCGATTTTAAGAGTGTGACGCATGCACTAAGCTAACACCGGGCTGCCTGATGGGGCAAACATCTCACTGAGGAGCAGCGTGGCGCTTTCTGGTGGGCGCCAGGCCCAGAGCAGTGGTTCTCCACCTGTGGGTCGGGACCCCATTTGGGGTCGAGCGACCATTTCACGGGGGTCGCCAAACAACGCAGTCCGCCATTTTTTCCCCCCTTTTCCTTAGCTGTGCTACTCCCTTTTATTCTATTGGCTTTCGAAAGCCAATAGAATAGACTCTCTTGAACAGAGTCTACTTCTATTGGCTTTCAAAAGCCCATAGGAATTGTCCAGGCTGTCTCTGCCCTGCTGAGCCCGCCAAAAGTCCCCTTCTGCAAACGGTGCTGCACCAGTTGAGTAGTCCTCGACTTACGACTGGTTGAGTAGTCCTCGACTTACGACCGGTTGGGGGGGGGTCGTGGCATTAAAAAGGTTGAGAACCACTGGTCCAGAGGGATCCTCTTCTCTCCCCCTGCCTTCCATCTTACGCGGAGCCCAGAGCAGGAGTTTCTGGGGAGGCTGCTCTGCAGGACGGGTCCTGTGTCCATCCTGGGCTAGTTGCTTCTTCTCTTCCAGGTGGGGCAGTGCGTGGTCGTCTTCAGCCAAGCCCCCAGCGGGAGGGCGCCGCTCAGCCCGAGCTTGAACTCTCGTCCTTCTCCCATCAGCGCCACGCCGCCCGCCCTGCTTCCCGAGACACGAGAATGCCGCTCTCAGTCTCCCGTTCAGACTGCAGACGAGGCTCCCTGCGTGAACGGCCGCTGGGGCACCCTGAGGCCCCGGGGGCAGAGGCAGACGCCCTGCGGGTCCCGGGAAGGAAGCCTGTCACCAGCCAGAGAGGACAGTTCACCGGTGCTGAATGGCGGCGAGGCTTTATCCCCCGGCACCGCCGTCGCCGGGGCCTCTCCAGACAGCCCTCTTCTCCAGCTGCTCTCGCCCAGCACGGCTTCCGTGGCAGAAGGCTACAACCCGAAGGCAGGCCTTTCTTTGGCACCCAGGCGGGGCTCCCTCCCCGATCAAAAGGACCTGCAACTGGCAGCCGTAGACTTGAGCTGGGAGGCCAAAGCCCCTTCTCTGGTTTGCCCGCCGGATGGTGCAGAAAGCAGGACGGTTGGCACGCTAGGCCTCAGGAACCCCCCGGATCAGACCAACGGCATTCACACCCCGCCTCAGGTGTCCAGCTCCCTGATGGGAGGGGTCTCTCCTAGTGCCCTGCGGCGGAGCCTGGAGATGGTTCAAGCCCTCTCGTCGAAGGCCCTGCCCACTTTGGTGGTCAGAAGCCCGGCCAGGGTGTCCTCGCCGGGATCCCCAGGCAGCCAGAGCAGTGCCAACCCTGCCGAAGCAGCTGTCGCTGCCACCACCCCTCGACCCAGCTCCGCCCAAGGAGACGGGCACGCCTTACCACCCATTGCTCGCCGCTTGGGCCATCATCCGCCTCAATCACTGAATGTAGGCAAGCCCCTCTACCAGAGCGTGAACTGCAAGCCCATGCAGATGTACGTGCTGGACATCAAGGAGGCGAAGGGGCGTGGACGAGTCCAGTGGAAGGTGTTTCACGGCAGCTCCGTGGTGGGACCCCCCGAGACCAGCCTGCACACGGTGGTCCAAGGGCGGGGGGAAGTCATCATCTTTGGCGGCTTGATGGACAAGAAGCAGAATGTCAAGTACTATCCCAAAACTAACGCCTTGTACTTTGTGCGGGCCAAGAGATAATGCGGCCGCGGGCCTCCCCCCCCTCTTCCGCTGCCCTGCCTTGGGGGCTCCCCTCAACCAGTCAGCCCTGCCCCGGGCACGCTGTCAAGCAGGCTGCGAATGTGGCATTCCACCCACTAATAAAGAGATCTAAGCAAATGGCACCGAGGCTCTCTCCTCCAATTCCCAGCACCAATACGAGGACCAAAGCCCCTTTCCTAGCAGAGAAAAGGCAGTTACAAAGCGGGCCCTGCTCAAAGACACCCGACCGAGCAGGACCTGGCCGTAGCTGAGTGACCTCTGAGCTGAGGGCAGGTGGGCAGTCACGGTGGCCGTCCTGTGTGCAAAAGCAGTCCGGGGACAAGAGGGCAGGCCCTCGGTCAGTTACGATGCCAGTGGGCTAACGCCAAGTTCCAAAGGGAAGTGACCAGGCTAATGGGACTCCACAGTCAGTCAGAGGTTTGAAATAAACGAGTCCAAAAAAGCCAGTCCTGGTTTAGGGATGGCTGCCCTCTGCCCCTGCGGCCTTCTCCTAGCCCTTGGGTGGGAGTTGGGCTTTTGAAGGGGATCTCCAGAAGCTGCCAGAGGCTCCCCATTCCCTGGGGGTCTGCCTGTTCTCTCGCTCAGAGCAGCCTATGAGCCAAGGGTCCCTTTCCAGGGCGGACAGTCATGCGTAGGTTGGAGACCCAGCAGGGCAAGCAAGGAGGGCGGAGGGAATGGCCGCTCCCACTCGCCTTGCCACAATGCTTTGGGCTTTGGGGGGAGGTCCAGCTCAGTCTGGTTAGTCTGACAAAGCCCCAAGTGAGGAAATGGGGGGGGGCAAGAGCTGAGCACACTTGCTATCAGCCACCTGACACACTCCGCAAAAGAAGCAGGAGGGTGGGACCAGCTGCAGCTCAGGTGAGGGTGAGGCCAGGCTGTTGGACAGACCCCGGCTTGATTGGCAGTGCTCAACACGTCCCACTCGAAAGGCCCAAGGCTTCCTGCAATTTCAGACAAGGGGGACACTTTTTTTGGGGGGGGGGGGTTTGGTAATTTAATCCACCTCCAATGCAGAATGTTCTCTTTAATGGGGCATGCTTGATAATCTGCACCATTTCTGGGTCAAAAAAAAAAAAAAGCCTAACACCTGGAGGCATTTGGGCAAGGAGAGGGTGGGCTCCTGGCAGCTGCCCTTGGTGGGAATCCTGCACGGGTGTGGGTGTGGGTGTGTGTGTGTGCGCGCGCATGCGTGCGTGCTCGTAGACCTGTGGATTGCCAACTCCCTCCTGCTCGAAAAGCCTGTGGCTTTTCCCACACTCCTTGGAGAGGCGGCGGGACTTTTTTTTGCCTTTCCCAGCAGAAGAGAAAGCTGCGCTTCTTGCAGCTTCCTGGCTGGCTGCCAAGATTGCGGGGCTATTTGGAGCCCCTTGTAGCAGTTTGGCAGGGCACTAAAAGTCCCCGCACACAAACACACACCACCTAGACGCCACACCTGGCCGTGCCCTCCCAGGCCTTTGCACCTTGCACCCGCTTGGAAGGACGAAGACAGCCAAGGGAGAGACCAAGAAGGCGGGCCATTCTCAGGGAGCCTCTTGTCTCCCTCCCCCCCCCCCCCAAAGGCTGCGGGCAAGCGCCGTTTCCAGCTCCAGCGAATCCAGTCCGTTGGATTTCGACTGAAAGTCTGCGCTTGTCAGCTGCAGCACCAGTCAGTCACCTCGCTTGCAGCCCTACCCAGAAGGCGGGTTGCATCCCCAAGTGCTGCGTTTGCCGGGGGGGGGGGGAGATCCGTAAAGGATGGCGCCCCGTCTCTCTCCCCCCGCCCCAAATTCAGTTCCCTGGGGGGGGGGGCTGCAGGAGCAACAGCCCTGGCAGTCGCCTCCAGGCCCTGGAAGGGAAGAGCGCCGTCGGGTGCCACCCGGCCCAGCCAGCTGGCCGCTGCCAGGCCAGGCAAACGGCGGAGCCCCGGCGCTTTGCAAGAAAAGCTGCCCGCTCCGCCCTCCTCGCAGGACGGACGGCCTTCCCGAAGGGCAGGGTTGGTTAGGCAAGCTTGGCTCTTCTGACTGGTGGACTTCAACTCCCAGAATTCCTGAGCCAGCCATGCGGAGGGAAAAGGGAGAGGTTTCCAAGCTGAGCCAGGCTGGCTGAGGAATTCTGGGAGTTGAGGTCCACCAGTCATAAAAGGGCCAAGTTTGAAGACCCCTAGTTTAAGTATTTTTTTTTCCTCACGGTCACATGATCAAAATTCAGGCATTTCAGCAGGGCTAGGCAACCTGGGCTTTTAGGCCTGGTGGACTTCAACTCCCAGAATTCCTCAGCCAACATGGCTCAGCTTGGAAACCTCTTTCCCCTCAGCATGGCTGGCTCAGGAATTGTGGGAGTTGAAGTCCACGAGTCATGAAGGGGCCATAGTTCCCCATGCTGGCTGAGGAATTCTGGGAGTTGAAGTCCACCAGTCCTAAAAGAGCCCAGGTTGCCTTTCCCCTGCCGAAGGGGCAGCAGCCGAGCCCCACCTGGGGAGCCGAGCCGCCCCACATCCAGCCCGGCTCCCGCAGACAGCGCCGGACTTCCGGGAATGCCGGGGGGGGCGGGGCCACGACTCCTGGCGGAAAAAGCGAGGGGCCGATTCGGGCATGCGCGAGGGCAAGGCAACGCCGCCCGCGCTGGGTCCTAGCGCCTTCTCGCCGCCCCGGGTCAGAAGCGGGGCTGGAGCGAGGTAGCCCTTCCGTGGGAGATGACGGTCCGGCCGGGATCCGTGGTGGACGGCGACTGGGCCGGCACGGAGGAAGGCAGAGCTTACATGGGCGCGCTCCTGCGCCGGAGGCAGCGCCGGAGCTTCGGTGAGCGGGAGCCTCGGCCAGTCGCAAGCCGGGGCTGGGGGGCCGAGGGAGCCGGTCATCTGAAGGGGCTCCTCCCTGCGCAGGGCTGCTGGAGAGGCCGGGGCTGGCTCCGCACGCCGCTGCCGACGTCGCCGGCTACAAGGTCTTCGTCTCGGGCAAGAGCGGCGTGGGCAAAAGCGCGCTGGTGGCCAAGCTGGCCGGGCTGCCGCTGCCCCTGATGCATCACGAGACCACAGGTGACCCCGCTTCCTCCTCCTCCTCCCTCGCCCCCCCCAAAAGCAAAAGCAGGGGATCCCCAACCCCCCGGGCCGGGCGTGCCAGAAACTGGGCTACCCAACTGGGCGAAGCCCTTCCGGTCCGCGGGAAACCCTCTCTCCGTGGAAGCGGTCCCTGGTGCCCCAAAGGTTGGGGGCCACTGGCCTTTGAAAGCAGGGGTGGACTTTGAAAGACTGGTGGATTTCAACTCCCAGAATTGTTTTTTTGCTAATTATTTTCTTGGTCTGGGTTCAAAGTTCTGTTTATCTGATCATGCAGGGGTTCTCAACCTTGGCAACTTTAAGACTTGTGGACTTCAACTCCCAGAATTCCTCAGCCAGCAAAGCTGGCTGAGGAATTCTGGGAGTTGAAGTCCACAAGTCTTAAAGTTGCCAAGGTTGAGAACCCCTGAGATGGTTGCCTTGCTAGTGCATCTTTCCCCTAGTCCTTTTTATCCGTTGCAAACTATGATCTTTTCTAAAGTTCTAAAGTTTCTATGGGGTTGTTTCCCACAAATCAGTCAGGATCTTACAATTGGGTGTGTCTAGTTTAATGAAGAGAAGGACGAGGGGGGGACATGATAGCAGTGTACCATATCTCAGGGGCTGCCCCAAAGAAGAGGGAGTCAAGCTCTTCTCCAAGGCGCCTGAAGGCAGGACAAGAAGCAAGGGATGGAAACTGATCCAGGAGAGAAGCAACCTGGAACTAAGGAGAAACTTCCTGACAGTGAGAACAATTAACCAGTGGAACAACCTGCCTCCAGAAGCAGTGAATGGAGTGGAGTGGAGGCAGTTTAGGTGTCCAAATCCACCAAATCCACCTTAAAAACACTGGAAGTTTTTAAGAAGAGACTGGACAGCCATTTGTCTGAAATGGTATAGGGTTTCCTGCCTGAGCAGGGGGTTGGACTAGATGACCTCCAAGGTCCCTTCCAACTTTATCATTATTATTGTTGTTGTTGTTGTTATTATTATTATTATTATTTCTGGGGGTGATCAGTTTTGTCCCAAGGAATTTGCAGGCAAATGATATTTCATTATTATTATTATTATTATTAGTAGTAGTAGTAGTAGTAGTAGTAGTAGTAGTAGTAACAGACTGAAGGAAACAGGTCCATTGCAAAAGAGCGCGTCTAAAGGAGGGGAGGAAGCGTGAGGGAAGACCCAAAGCAACTCAAAGCCTTTCACACATTACATACACCTTGAGTGGGAGAGCTGCTTTGAGAGGCCTTCAAAGTTGATTACAAGCCCTGCAAGGCTGCCTATCTCAAGAAATCAGAACCACCTGGATTTCTAAAAAAAGATGTTGGTAGGATTTGGGAGCAGAATTTGGCTGAGGAATTCTGGGAGTTGAAGTCCACCAGTTTTAAAGTGGCTAAGGTGGAGGACCCTGGCCTATAAAGTCCAGCGCTGAAGGAGAAGGGCAGAAGCTTCGGAAAACTGGACGGGGTGGGGAGTGGGGACCCTCCCTTCTGCCAGGTGGCAGCTCCGGACCCTCTCCGGAGGCAGGGGGCTTTCCTGGGAGTCACGTCCCCAGCTGAAGCGGATTTTTCCCAGGGATCCAGACCAGCCTGGTCTACTGGCCAGCCAAGCTGCGGGAGAGCGGCAAGGTGCTCTTCTTCAAGTTCTCCTTCTGGGACTGCGGCGAAGCCTTGCTGAGAAAGTTTGACCACATTTTACCCGTAAGTCAGTCCGCGGAGAGGCGGCAGGGGGGGCTTCAGGGCCAGACAACATTCTTGGGAGGATGGGTGGGGGGATGATGACAGACGAGGCCACATGGAGACACCCGTTGCCTTTCCGAGTTGGCAGCCCTCCATTTTTTTTCCCTTTCCTGCAGGCCTGCAGAGAGAAAGCGGACGCCGTCCTCTTCTTGTTCTCCTTCACGGATCGGGCCTCCTTTCTCGACCTCCCTCAGCAAATCTCTCGCGTGACAGACGGGACCAGGGATGTGGTCCGGATGGTCGTGGGCACCAAGTATCCTTAAGGGGCTTCTCACCAGACTGGAAGGGCCCCAGGTGGGGGGGGGGAGTGTAGCCTGCCTCTTTTAAGATTTGTTCCTTTTTCAGAAACGTTGACGCTTTTTCATAGTATCCGTCTTTTCCTCCCTCCAGCCTCTCTTCGATCGAAAGAATCTTGCAATTTTAACAGAAATAAGCCTTGCAAACCCGCTAGATTAAAATACTTAGCAATCCTTGCAAGGCCTAAGACGGGCGGCATCCGTTCCCGTAGCCCAGTCCCGAGCCGAAGAGGGCACGTTCAGCTTGGACGGTCCCCTCCTTAGTGCTTGGCGATTCACCTTCCTTGACCAACGGTCTCCAGGTTCGACCAGTTTGCCCACACGGACGTGACGGAATCGGACATGGCGGCTTTCTCCCGCACCTGGGGTTTGCCGATCTTGCGGACAAAGAGTGTCGGCGAGCGGCACTCGGACGGATACGCCGGCCTGGTCGAGGTGGCCCCTCTCTTGAACAGGCTGGCCGAGCATCTCTGGAGGCAGGACCAGGTGGCTGCTGGCCTGGTCCCCCGAGGGGCGAGCCCTGCCGTCCCGGAAGCGCTGGTTCCATGAAATCCTCATTTACTGCAAGGGCTTCGTTTGCTTGATGGCTGCTCTTCACTGCCTGTAAACCCCAATCTTTGCATCTGCTGGCAGGGAAAACCCTGGGGCTGAATTCTGGGTTCCCTCGGTGGTAGAAGTGCACCAAGGAGGAAGAGGGGACAGAAGGCAGCCTGGGGTGGGGGCAGACCTCCACAGATCCAACTTATAAGGCTCCCAAGAGTGTTGCAGGATTCGTGCTAGGTTCTCTTGCCAGGCAAAAGAGCAGAACTGGGTCTGATCAGCAGGGGAAAAAGGGTGGCTTTTCAACCCCGAATTCTCTCTAGTCACAGACGCCCCAGGAAAACTCCCACCTCTTTCCGGAGGTCGTCGTGAGCAAGTCAACATTCAACGCACATTTTTGTTGTCCACGTTCGGTCCCTTTTTCCACTGTCTTCGTGCAAGCGAGTTAATAAATATTTTGAACTTAGACGCTGTACGTCTCTATAAATGTGCATAATATATACAGATACAGCAGGTCATTTAGTGACGGTTCAAAGTTGCGTCGCTGAAAAAAAGGGACTTAGGAACCATTTTTCACACTCCCAACCGTGGCAGCACCCCATTGGTCACACCATCCAAACTCGGACGCTTTGCCACTGGTTCACGTTTACGACGGTTGCGCTGTCCCGGAAGTCCTGTGATCCCCTTTTCCCCACCTTTTGACAAGCCAAATCAATGGAGGAAGCCAAACTCACTTAATCAGCCGTGTTACTAATTTAAGATTGCAAAAGCGATTCGCTTTACGACTGTAGCGAGAAAGGTCGTAAAATGGGGCAAAGCTCGCTGAACAAATGTTTCAATTAGCCACATAAATTTTGGGCTCAGCTGTGGTCTTAAGCCGAGGACTACCTGTATAGGAATCACGTATAGTCTTCCTCTACAACGGGGTTGATTATATTTGCGCTCGCTTGTGGACCACTCATGTTAACATTGGGGTTCTTGCTGAATGCCGTTCCTTCACTTTGCTGTTCAGCTTGTCGCTGACTTCTTCTCAGTGCAGGCTCAGCTATTCAGGAAGAAAGTGGAATAAATTTGTAAAAAAACAGTGCTTGCTAAGGCTCGGTCTGATGTTTAGGCAGCTCGCTCTTGGGCCACCGGCGTGACGACAAGGGGAGAGCCAACTGCTCTCTCCTCTCAGCAATGCAAGCACCGTCCTTGGTGCGGCGATTCCAATGGTGTGTCTGGCCAAAAAGCAGCCCGGTGTGCCAGATGCACATCTTTGCAGTAGGGAGCGAGCAGTCGGAGCCCCAAGGCCTGGTCAGGAGGGAATCGCCTCCCTTCCAGCCAGAAGGGGGCAGCTCCATCACCGCCTTCACCCTTCCAGATTTCCCTTCCTGCGAGGCTGATGCGTCTGAAATGGGTAGGGGCTTCTTGGCCTCCTGCCTCGGCAGCAAACCAACTTGCCTTCCAGGCATGTTTCTCAAAGCATCAGGGTTAATATTTAATGGGCCTCTTTGAGACCCAGCGCTTCTGGATTGCAGGCTGCAGTCCTCCTCCTGGTTATCAGCCCATCTTCAAAGCTGTCCCATGGGGCTTTGCACAAGCAAAAAGAAAAGAGAATATCCTCTGAGAATGATGATAATAAAAATAAAAATGAAGTTGGAAGGGACCTTGGAGGGCGTCTAGTCCAACCCCCTGCTCAGGCAGGAAACCCTGTACCAGTGGTGGCGAACCTAGGGCACGGGTGCCAGTGGCGGCACTCGGAGGCCTCTCTGTGGGCACACGTGCCGTTGTCCCAGCCTCGCCTCCCCACATGACCCCCTCCTCTCCAGCAGCCCCCATGAAGGAGACTCGCCCCCGAGCATGGCCCACACGGAGCAGCGCAGCCAAGGACATGGCAGCCAGGCAGCATAGACAAGACTGCCCTCACGCTCCATCCTGCAGTTGATGCTGCAGGGCACGGGCAGAGGGCATGGCCGCCATAGCGCTGCTGGGCTGCCTGGGCGATCTGCAGAGGGCCCTGGAGGCGGTGAGTGGTCCTATGGGCAGGAGGGGTGGGGGATGGGTAGGCAGGGGGGTTGGAGCAGGGGCGGGGCCCGTTTTTGGGCACTCAGTCTCTAAAAGGTTCACCGTCACTGCCTATATACCATTTCGGACCAATGGCTGCCCAGTCTCTTCTTAAAAACTTCCAGTGTTGGAGCGTTCACCGCTTCTGGAGGCAGGTGGTTCCCCTGGACAAGTTTCATAGGAGGTTCAGGATTGGTTAAAATGCTTAAAAACAACCGGCGTCTTTCCCTTCCTGACCCCAATCCCTGTTGGAGAGCTTTCACAAACCTTTTGTGCATTCTCTCTGACTCAATTATGTTTCAATGTCTTGTGGAAGCTAAGCACGACGCCAAACCAATTATTGGCGGGGATTCATAGGACAGCTGGATTCTATATGTCTTGCGATGCTCCAGCGCAGTGGTTCTCAACCTTTTTAATGCCGCGACCCCAACTGGTCGTAAGTCGAGGACTACTCAACTGGTGCAGCACCGTTTGCAGAATGGGACTTTTGGCGGGCTCAGCAGGGCAGAGACAGCCTGGACAATTCCTATTGGCTTTTGAAAGCCAATAGAATTAGACTCTATTCAAGTAGCACAGCTAAGGAAAAGGGGGAAAAAAATGGCGGACTGCGTTGTTTGGCGACCCCCGTGAAATGGTTGTTCGACCCCAAATGGGGTCCCGACCCACAGGTTGAGAACCACTGCTCCAGCGGGACAATAATGGATAAGCACACACACTCACACAAACACACGCAAACTCCGAACAGGAAAAATCTAAAGGGGAGTCATTTGGCTGAAAAGGTGAGAAATCCGGGGTTTGTTTTCCAAGCCTCCCCTCATCTTCATCACCCCACCAAGCAACCTTATTTACATCCAAAGGGGAGGAAAAGCTCCCTGCGCGTTGCCATGTGTGTCCCTCTGACCGCTCGGAGCAGAAGGGCATTCTGTCTCCCGGGCATAAGAACTGGCTGGCCAATTTCTTTGCGATGGCTTCTGGCCTGCTGCTGCTGCTGCTGCGCAGCCCCTCCTCCTCCTCCTCCAGCCTGCAGAGCCAGGCTGGGAAAGACAGGCTGGGAAGCAGCAGCTCTTAGCTGATTTCCATAGCTACGCAGGCAGGCGGCATTGGCATCACGGGGACCTGCCCTGAAAAGCAGGCGGGAGGGAGGGAGGCTCCCAGCTGCCCCCTTCACCAAGGAAGGTGACTGTTGTTGTTGGTACGTGGACAACAACGCCGCTGCTTTGCTCTCCCAGAAGATGCTGCACAGGCATCTCCACAGCAGGTTCCAGGACCAGGGATGAGCTGAGAGCAGGGCAGGAGCCCCCCCACCCCCAACGACAGCACCTGGGTGTTGCTGGGCTCCTCTCCCGGCCTCCCCCTACGCATGGCCAAGAGCTGAAGAAGCAAGTAGGTCCTAGAGCGTCCTTCCCTTGCCAAAAACACCATGATCCGCAAGAAAGCGTCTGCTCTGAGTCCAGCCGATGCCAGCCTCCTGCTCAGTGTGTCAAAGAGCTGCTCCGGGGCCCACTTCAGCGATGCCGGAGCCGTTCAAAATGGGGCCTCCACCGGTAGCTTCGTAAGTACGCGGGGAGAGCGGATTGATGGGATCCAACTGGGCTTTGTTTAAAAAAAAAAAGACCTTCCATCCCGCCAGGATCGTTTTGCTCAGGGATGGCTGTGGGATCTGGCCGCAACGGCGTCAGCGGGCGAAAGCACTCTGTGCATGCTCTCAGCACGCAAGCCCTCAGGAGGCGACCCGTTAAAAAGTTCCCACAAGAGAACAGGGGCAGATTCAAATTCCCCAGGAGCGCCTGAAAGCCTCATAAGCTGACCCAGCATGCGATCTGTCACCGTGCAAATAAAACGGGACGTTAGAGGGCAAGAGTTGTGGGCTTCCACCTGGAGGGAAGCCAGCTGTTTCCGACGGCAAGTGTGCAATGAATTTGGGACCCTGAAATGATTGAGGTGTAGGTCTCCGTGGAGGCCGCGTAGAGAAAAGGGGGAGCTTGGCAACTGCATCCTTGCCAGGGCGATGCCAAAACCATGCTTTGCGATGTGCGGCACAACCCATCACCCCAAAGCAGGAGCCTTTGAGCCTCTGGTGCAGCACTGGGTTTGTAAGCAAGCAGACAAGAGAGGGACGACATACCCCAAATTTGTGCTGCAAGCTGCTAAGATCTCTTAAAATACAGCCTCTAATGTGGGACAGTGGTACTCTCCAGTGTCTCCTGCCTGGCGGTCATGTTTTCCGACCCACAGCATCAGTTGGTCCCAGAGGGGTCCCAGCATCCTCTGTCTATACCCATCTGGTCTCACTTGATCTTCTCATTGGCAGGATGCGGAAGATACGGTCTACATTTACGGCAGAGACGGTTATGATTCTTCCACCAGCCGCAGAGGAAATTACTTCAGAGATGGGAAAACCAAGATCGGTGAGTAGTTCTACTTCTTGGTGGCATAAATGGATGGATCTGGGAAGGACCTCGGACCCTGTCCTAAATGAACTCTTGCTCAGCGCAAGCACATGAGAGTCCAGCAGAGGGAATGTCGGGGTTTTTTTTGTTCACAAGTTCATCTGGATGATTTGGCCAAAGCAAGAATCCTTGATGAAACGGGACTTCTTCCCGAAAGCTCTTTTCCAAATACCGAAGACGAACTAAGCCGGAAACCAGCTTCCAGGGCAAGGGGCAGCAGCTGGGAAAAAACTCGTGGCAAATCACTGCCTGAGAATTCAGAACGCTTGCAATAATTCATTTTACAATAACGTAAGCCTCTTAGGGAAGCCTTTGGACCAAGGTTCAAAATGCCCACCCGGTTGGCTTGCAGACTTCGTGCTGGTTTGGGAGGAGAAAGCCTGTCCCTCGAAGAAGAGGCGTGGCAAACAGCTGCACCGCCAGGGCGAGGCGGCAGCAGGCACGAGAGATGGAAGCGGCGGGGACCACCGCTACGGGCGGCACGAGAGATGGAAGCGGAAATTCCTCAAAAATCTGCGGAACGCTGGCCTCTTGATGGAGAAGGTGCGGTCTCTGCAGGAAAGGTCTCCGGGCTTTAATACGGGGTATTAAATACAGTGGCAGTAATACAGGGAGTGCCATGTTGGCATCCGAGACTGTCTAGACTTAGCTGGTGTTGGCAGAAATATCATCCCAGTCCTGACGTTCCTTCGCACTGAAGTGGAACTGACCCAAGTGCTTGGCAGAGGTCCACTCTTATCATCATGCAGAAAAATGCTGGGTTATAATTGGGGTTCCAGGAATTCTTGCTTGGGGTGTCTCCCCTCCTTCTCTTCGCGACCCGCCCCCAACCCAGTGGGTTGTTTTTACAGGAGGTGACCCAGAGCGAACACAAGAGCATCCACTACTTGAAGCTGAGCACGCCCTGGGAGGTGCTGGTGTATTACGCCGAGGAGCTGTGCATGCGAGCGCCTCTCCAAGTAAGTCCCGGGCTCGTTTGGTGTGTGTTTTGGAGTGTGGTACAGGAGCTTCACTTCCCCCCTGTCCTGCCACATGGGTCCTCTTTCCTTCCCAGGCTCACCCCAATCCAGACAGAAATAGTTCCGATGACCTGCTTCGGAAGCTGCGCATCCCCAACCTCATGGACCAGAGGGTGCCTAACAAGCCCGTGGATTACTACACCTGTGCCTTCCGCAAGTCCAAGCTCGACAGGTGAGCGGGGGCACAAGTGTGCTCAGATGGAGACTTGGCCTGGGAGAAGGGCTCTCCGGCTCCCAATTTCCTGGGAATGTTGATCGTTCCCTTCGTAGGATTTTCCTTCGGCTGAAGGGAGGAGGGAAGGACTGCTGGACCGAGCGCAGGTTCAGTCAAGGCTGGCATCCGGACCCCCACAAAGCCCCTTTCGGCTTTGAAGAACATTTTACGTCGGCCTTTGGCTTAAATCTGCTGCTGCTCTCTTTTCCAGGTTCCTGGGCAGTGATTTGCACGACAGCTACTTCAACAATACGCAAAGGCATCGCATCGTAAGCCCTCGTAGGGGAGAAGCCCCAGCCCAGTTCCAGGGCTGGAGCAGATAAGGCCAGCTCAGAGGGAGGAAGCCCTCCCTTTCTCTGCCGTTTCGACCATTGGCTCGCTTCCTTGGGCGATGGTCCAACATTGACACAGCAACCCCGCTTTCCACTTTTTGTATGTGTGCGTGTGTAGTTCTTGTTCTGGCTTTCCGTGTCCCGGTGCATGACCAGTTAATCCCACCTGCAGGTGTATGAAATCTTGGCACGGACGATTTACGGGAAACGGAAGCACGCCGAAATAGGCATCGACCGACTGCTGAACGAAGGGGTCTACTCCGCCGCTTTCCCGCTGCACGAGGTAAGTGGGTCGCCGAGGCTTCCCGGCGGGGAGCAGAGCGGGAAAGCAGAGAGGTCGTGCCCAGGAGGGCCGGGTCCATCTCGGCCCAGAAGTCCTGCCTCTCCGGCCCCAGCGCGGTCATTGGTCAAGGAAAGGCCTCTCCTTCCTGCCTTTTCACTTTGGTGGTCCGCAAAGGGAAACGACCCCTGGCGTTTTTGAGCATCACAAAGCAGTCCTTCACTCACTTTCCAGTAATATCCCTTAAATTTGGTTTTGTTTTTTTTAGGGCAGCGGTTCTCAACCTGTGGGTCGGGACCCCATTTGGGGTCGAACGACCATTTCATGGGGGTCGCCAAACAACGCAGTCCGCCATTGTTTTCTCCCCTTTTCCTTAGCTGTGCTACTCCCTTTTATTCTATTGGCTTTCGAAAGCCAATAGAATAGACTCTCTTGAATAGAGTCTAATTCTATTGGCTTTCAAAAGCCAATAGGAATTGTCCAGGCTGTCTCTGCCCTGCTGAGCCCGCCAAAAGTCCCATTCTGCAAACGGTGCTGCACCAGTTGAGTAGTCCTCGACTTACGACCGGTTGAGTAGTCCTCAACTTACGACCGGTTGGGGGTCGCAGCATTAAAAAGGTTGAGAACCACTGTTTTAGGGAGAAGTAGTTTGGCACCAGTCTTCTGGCTGGGTTTCGTATTCCAGCTCTAGCCTTTTAAGAGCCCTGCCAAGGTCTTTGGGGGTTGCCTTGTGGAGGATGGGTATCCCTTCAATCTCTCTCTCTCTCTCTCTCTCTCTCTCTCTCTCTCTCTCTCTCTCTCTCTCTCTCTCTCTCTCTCTCTCTCTAGGGTCCCTATGAGCTCCCGGACTATGAGGTACTAAGCGAAGAGCTGAACCCCCGCCAGATCCTGTACCGTTTTTGGGCCCGCTGGGCCTGCTGGTACAAGTATCAACCCCTCGATCACATCCGGGAATACTTTGGAGAGAAGGTGGCCATCTACTTCGCCTGGCTGGGTGAGACACATCCAGAGGATTGGGGGGGGGGAGGTCTTGCTTCTCTTGCCCAGCCTAGCCCCCCCTCCCCGTCCAGAACATAAAACATCGATCAGGTTTTGAGCAAACTCTGGGAACAACTTGCCTTGAAGACAGAGGTCTTCAAACGTGGCCCTTTGATGACTTGTGGACTTCAACTCCCAGAATTCCTCAGCCAGCTTGCCTGGCTGAGGAATTCTGGGAGTTGAAGTCCACAAGTCATCAAAGGGCCAAGTTTGAAGAGCCCTGCTTTAAGACCACAGAGTATGTTGCACGGACCCTTAGCAAGGTCAGATCCATGAGCCCAACTGGCATTTCATTGGCACCTGATGCATTTTAACTTTAATCTTTAGTGCCTATGCAGGTCACATTGTGGTCTTGTGCGATCTCAGCTCATGCTTAAAATTATGGTTTCGTCTACGGCAGCGGTTCTCAACCTACGGATCACGACCCCATTTGGGGTCTATCGACCATTTCTCGGGGGTCGCCAAGCAAGGCTGTCCGCCATTTTTTTTCCCCCTTTTCCGGCGGGTGCCTTACCTGCCTTGGGCTGGGCCAGCTGGTGGCCCAGCCGGTGGTCGGCCTGCTCCGTCTCTGCCGCTTGCCAGCTACGCCTCGGCTGGCGCAGGGCGCGGCACCACACATGCGCGGCGCTCTCGGGCAGGGAAAGTCCTCGACTTATGACTGGTTGGGTAGTCCTCGACTTACGAACGGTTTAGTCCTCGACTTATGACCAGTTGGGGGTCGCGGCATTCAAAAGGTTGAGAACCACTGATCTACGGCGAGACGCCTGAAGCGGTTTCACGCAAAAGCAAATTAAAACATATGTTGCGAATCGATTCTTCCAAAGTGGCAAGCTGCGATCTGGCCAGAACCTGTGCGGCACGCTTACCATCTCTGGCAGAGGACCTCCTCCGGGTGGGGAAAGGGGGCAGGGGGTTCTTCAACACCTCTTCCTCTTTCTTGCAGGCTTCTACACAGCCTGGCTGATCCCAGCCGCAGCCATTGGCAGCTTTGTGTTCCTCGCCGGCCTCTTCGTCCTGGACACCAACGTGCCAGCGTGAGTGTGGAAGGACGCTGGTGGGAGGGGGGAATGGAGAAACGTGGCTGCCAGGAGTGGACATCCGAGAGTCACATATTTCTCCTGCGAGGTGTTTACTTCCTTGTCCAAAATGTGCACTTATTGACCAAATTTATGGAGCACCGTTTCATTTGTGGAAAATAGCTGTTGATGAGGCTCTTCCTAGAGCAGGGGTAGGCAACCTTGGCCCCTTCATGACTTGTGGACTTCAGCTCCAAGAATTCCTGAGCCAATATGGGGAACTATGGCCTCTTCATGACTCGTGGCCTTCAAATCCCAGAATTCCTGTGCCAGCATGGGGGAACTATGGCCCCCTCACGACTGGTGGACTTCAACTCCCAGAATTCCTGAGCCAGCATGAGGGAACTATAGCCCCCTCATGACTGGTGGACTTCAACTCCCAGAATTCCTGAGCCAGCATGGCTGAGCTTGGAAACCTCTCCCTTCCCCCTCAGCATGGCTGGCTCAGGAATTCTGGGAGTTGAAGTCCACCAGTCATAAAAGAGCCAAGGTTGCCTACCCCTTTGTCTACCTAGAGCATATAGGGCCCATGCCTGAAGCCTGCCCCTGCGCATGGCACAGTCCTTTCATGCCCAGTGGGCATCTGTGCCTCTGAGGTGGGAGAAGGACCTCCAAGGTCCCTTCCAACTTTATTATTATTATTATTATTATTATTATTATTATTATTATTATTATTATTATTATTATTATTATTATTACTATTAATTGAAAAGTTTTATAAAAGTTACAATATACACCCCAAAGCCCACCCACCCTAAACCCCCCCTCCCTCCCCCACTTCCCAGAGCTGAGTACAGGGTTACAAATATAATAATCATACTCTAACTAACATTAACCAACTATATAAATAACCAAGTTCATAATGCGCTTTAACTCCCCTTTAACGTAAATATAAACAAATTAAAAGTAAACATAATAATATAAACAAGTTAATATCCTAATTATTAAGCAATACAATATCCAACATGTTATATTATTATTATTATTATTATTATCATTATTATTATTATTGATCATCGCACAGTTAGCCAGATATTCAGACTGGATTGGCATTTTGTCTACCTATCGAGTCCTTACCCAGGACCTGGGATAGGCAGATGTGGATCTTTGATGGTATTACATTATTATTATTATTATTATCGATCATCGCACAGTCAGCCAGATGTTCAGACTGGATTGGCATTTTGTCTACCTATCGAGTCCTTACCCAGAACCTGGGATAGGCAGATGTGGATGTTTGATGGTATTACAGATATCGTCGCAGGATGGAAGCAGTTCCTAATAAGGCTGCCTTTTGCAATTGACTAATAGCGAATTTGTCAATGCCAATGGTGTTCAAGTGGTGCTCCAGTTATTTTGGGATTGCACCCAAGGAGCCTAACTTGAACACTATTATTATTATTATTATTATTATTATTGGCACACTTACCGGTAGAAGAAAGATCTTGGCCCAATGCAAAACTCTTCCTGCATTTTCTAACCGACTTCGCCCAATCTACCGTGACGCAGCCTCCAGGTTGAAGGGCAGTCTACCTCCGAGCACCAGAGCATCAATAGGGGCTGTTAGACTCCTTTTGGAGAAATCTCCTTGAGGGCAGAATCCTTAAAAAAAAAAAAAAAGTTTTATTAGTTTTTATAGGGCTAGGGATAGAATGGGGTCAGCATTGGGATTAGGGTTGGGGTCAGGGTTGGGGGTTGGGACTAAGCTTTCCCCAAGTAACATTTTCAATATTTAGCAAACCGTATATTGTCTGGGTATATATATTTAAATAACAGGAATAGATATAGCAATAGATAACAGTAATAGATATGGTTAATTATCATAAGCAGTATTAATTAATCACCCCATAGCATTGGGGGGACAAGCCTTTTCCTCCCTAAGTTCCCCCCCTCTTCTCTTTTTCCCCCCTTTCCAGGAAAGAAGTCTGCAAGAGTGGGGGAGACTTCCTCATGTGCCCTCTGTGCGATACTTGTGGCAACTGGAACCTCTCCGAGATCTGCCCCATGGCAAAGGCAAGGGGGCTTCCTTCCGCTTCCGGGGAGGGGGCATCGCTGAGGGGGAACATGGCTTCCTTGTCCCCTCACCAACTGGGCCCCCCAAGGGGAGAGATTTTCCTTAAGGAGAGCAAGGGAGAAGATCTGCGATCCGTTAAATTTAAAATAGTGATGGAAAATTTCACATTGAGAAAAACGTATGAAGTCACTGACTGTCCAAAAGGTGGAATGTTAAATTAATTAAGCTATGTCTAAACTGAAGATTATTGATGAACGTTAGAAAGCTACTTTCTGTTGGATTGTATAGAACAGTGGTTCTCAACCTTTTTAATGCCGCGACCCCCCAACTGGTCGTAAGTCGAAGACTACTCAACCGGTCGTAAGTCGAGGACTACTCAAACTGGTGCAGCCCCGTTTGCAGAATGGGACTTTTGGCGGGCTCAGCAGGGCAGAGACAGCTTAGACAATTCCTATTGGCTTTGGAAAGCCAATAGAATTAGGCTCTATCAAGAGAGTCTATTCTATTGGCTTTCAAAAGCCAATAGAATAAAAGGGAGTAGCACAGCTAAGGAAAAGGGGGAAAAAAATGGTGGACTGCGTTGTTTGGTGACCCCCGTGAAACGGTCGTTCGACTCCAAATGGGGTCCCGACCCACAGGTTGAGAACCACTGGTATAGAATAAGAACTGTGTTGGTTTGAATATGAGAGACTATATGTTAAGGGGGAAAGAGAGGGAATTAGTTGTCGTAAATACTGTGAGATTTGTATTGATGACATTTAAATGGAACGGAATTATTGTACTCAGCTGCCACGTTGCTTTTCAAAGGTGCAAATGTAATATTAGAAAATTAATAAAAATAAATAAATAAAAAAAGATCTGAGATCCACTGGTTCCCGAGACGGACACGCAGCAGCCATTTTAAGTCCCACCTTGGTGCAGTTGCAGAGGGCCCAGCTGATCCGGCTCCTCCATAAAATGGGAACAATTATCCAACTATATCAGCAGCTTATTTTTTCCCCCCCATTCCTCATTCATTTGCTCAGTATCCCACAGGACCACAGCTCTATTCTAGGGAAGCACTGGAACAAGGGGGCAAACCCCCTTCCAGTATCCAAAGCCCCAAGCTCAGAATTATTCACTCTCTTGGGAATGAGATGGTTTTTGGCGACTCCTGAGATTGTGGGTGAAAAGCAGGATAGACCCTCCCAGGTCAGATTTGCTCGTCCCTCAGGAATGGGGGTGGTAGCCGCTGGCAAATCCTCTAGTCTGGGAGAGGGTTTTTTTTTTTTTCCAATCCTTTTTCTCCATCTCTGCAGCTTGGGTACCTCTTTGACCATCCGGGGACCGTTTTCTTTAGCATCTTCATGTCCTTCTGGGCTGTGACGTTCCTGGAGTATTGGAAGCGGAGAAACGCCACGCTGGCTCACCATTGGGACTGCATGGACTTCCAAGAAGAGGAGGCAAGTGTCCTTTTCCCAATCTTCCTTTCCCGCTGCTCTCCCCACGGGCGGGGGGGGGGGAGGCCAAGCCAGCTGGCCCTCGTTCCTTCCTGGGCAGGTAGGACAACCTCAGCAGACCCCGGAAGGAAACCACTTGGAACCATCACGCCGAACGATGAATATCAGGACAATTCCGATTACGTTTTTTGCCTTTTGTCTTGGGATGGCCAGCAGGCATTCCCGGGGCCGTTTACCAAAGACAGTAAGAGGTTGACTCAACCAACGAAGCTGTAATTCTGCCCAATTGAAGGTTGCCTTACTAAAAGGCATCCAATCCTGTTACTGATAACTCCGGTACAAGAGCAAAATAAGGTGGGGAAGGGTACTGATCACAAATCAGCTCGTAATAAGACCAGGTGGAAGTCATCGCCCTCACGTAACTGGGAATAACTCCCGTTGAGAGAGCCTGTATGATGCAGTGCTTAAGGCGCCACGTTATAAGACCGGGAGTTCTAGTCCTGCCCTAGGCCTGATGTCATGCCCCCGGTTGGAGACTGATTCTGAGGACAACATGGAGTTCCCTGTTGAGGCGGAGGAGGGGGTGTCTGTGGCTTCGGAAGACTGTGGGGAGGAACAGGCTGAAGCAGGCCAGGGCCCTTCAAGCTTGGAACAGGGAAGGCACAGCTCAAGCGAGGAGCAAGGCCCTCCCCACCAGATCCCAGAGCAAGGAGAGCAGAGAGGAGGAGGGAACAACTGCTCGGGAGGAGAGCGTCCCGCCCCACTCCACAAGGCACGCCTGGGGAGTAGGTATTTAAGGAAACGCTGTGGGGTGGGGCATTTGCCGGGAACAAACGTGAACTCTTGTGATGTGAGCTCTTGTACCTGGACTCTTTACATTTTGGATCAAGTTGGTTTCCTGCTGAGTGTTCCTTGCTGTCCTCAGTTTTGTGGTTTGCAGGTTACAGGCAAGCTGGGCGTTGAAAAGATCATACTTTGTTTGTTATCTGTTTTACTTTAAAGAACCGTTTCGCTCCGTTGACTGTTTTATTGACCTTGTGCCAGCAATGTGGGGTGAACGTTGGAGGTGCTTACAAAGACAATTATTCTGACCAGCTGATTGCTTTGCCTCTGTTCGGGGCCCTGGGTCATCACAGCTGACTAGCCATCTTGGGCCAGTCACTCTCTCTCAGCCCTAGGAAGCAGGCAAGGGCAAGCCACCTCGGAAATCTTGCCAAGAAAACTGCAGGCAATCTTCCAGGCCCTTGACAGGATTCGGCCCCGAGCCGAAAGCACAAAATACAAACCAACGCTAAACCTCCCATTGAGTTCAACAAGGTCACTTCCTTGTTTGTTCTCACCCTGATTTCCCCCCCCCCTTTTTTTCCTCTCCCACTTTCTCTGGCCTGCCCCTAGGAACGTCCTCGCCCAGAGTTTGCTGCTAGGGCCCCTTGCCTGGAACAGAACCCCATCACAGGCCTGAAGGAGCCCTATTTCCCTAAGCACGACCAGCTGTCACGCATCCTGACTGGGTCCATGGCTATCGTCATCATGGTGAGGGGCTATTGCCATGGGGAGGGGGGGAGGAGAGAAAGAGAGCCCCGTCCCCAATCTCTGATGCTCCTCTCGCGTCTTGGTTCCTCCTCAGCTCTGCGTGGTGATGATCTTTTTGGTGTCGGTGATCATGTACCGGGGGATTGTCAGCACCGCAATCTACCACACCGGAAACAGAGTTCTGATGACGCAGGTGAGGGCTGCCCTCTTGGCTCTGCTTGGACACCTCCGCCCTCAAGATTCCGTTGGGCCCTCCCCAGAGATGTTCCTTATCCTTTCTCCAGATTTAGGGTTTCAGAGAGAACAGAATTATGGGCAGTTCCTCTTTCTGTCTGCACAGAAAAAAATGTGTCAGGGAAGACAGAGCTGGATTTGATATTATCCACAGCCCGGTTCGCTAACACTCTTAATACAGGGGTCTTCAAATGTGGCCCTTTGATGACTTGTGGACTTCCACTCCCAGAATTCCTCAGCCAGGCATACGTGAAGTCCACAAGTCATCAAAGGGCCAGCTTTGAAGACCCCTGTCTTAAATCTAACAAACAAAATGGAAGCTAGCTGAGGAATTCTGGGAGTTGAAGTCCACAACTCATCAAAGGGCCAGCTTTGAAGACCCCTGTCTAAAATCTAACAAACAAAATGGAGGCTGGCTGAGGAATTCTGGGAGTTGAAGTCCACAAGTCATCAAAGGGCCATGTTTGAAGACCCCTGTCTTAAATCTAACAAACAAAATGGAGGCTGGCTGAGGAATTCTGGGAGTTGAAGTCCACAAGTCATCAAAGGGCCAGCTTTGAAGACCCCTGCTCTAATACAAGGCTCGTAAGGCAACAATAGCAGTAGTAGAAAGAGAAGCTTTCACCTGCCTTTTGCTCTTCCAGCTGGTGGTCCAAAACCCACCTAAGTTATGGTCCTCTTAAATTACTTTCTGTGTAAATATTATCTTGAAAACCTTCAGGTTCTCTGTGCTTTTTCTTTTTATGCATCTTTATTGCAGTTCTAGCTGGGGTACCGTGAAAGTTCAAAAGAGATGGGCAAAATGCCCGCCCCCCCGGGAGGAGAGGGTTGAGGGACGAGAAAATGGGGTAAAATGGGACCTCTCCCCCCCTGTTCCTGCAGGCAGGTAACATTGCGAATATCAGCAGCTCCATGGTGAACCTGGTGCTCATCCTTCTCATGAGCCAGGTCTACACCTCCTTGGCCGAGAAGCTTACCAGATGGGGTGAGTGGAAGACTCCCGTCGTTCGACCAACAGTAGCCAATGAGCCCGGGGATGTTTCGCTTTTAAGAGTACTCAAAACCTCCTTTGTGGGGAGGGGGGGAAACACATTTCATAGAATTGGAACTTTTTTTAACCGCCGATTATTAGGCTTTCTCGTTGCTGGAACCTGTCAGAACTCCGGGCCGATTCCTTCGGCATCTGTGATTGATCCGGCTTGTCCTTGTTTCACCTCTCTACTCCTCCTTGCAGAAATGCACCGGACTCAGACGCAGCACGAGGACGCCTTTACCTTCAAAGTGTTCATTTTCCAGTTTGTGAACTTCTACTCGTCTCCTTTCTACGTGGCTTTCTTCAAAGGCAGGTAGGGGACGCGGCGAAAAGCTTTCCGCTTAGAGGCAGGGAGGGAAGGAGGCTCGCTCGGAGAGGTCCTTGGGCCATCTAGCCCTCCTTGCAAAACGAGAGAGATGCCAAACCAGACTCAAGGGGCCTCTGAGTTGAGCTGGGCCTTCCTCTTGAACATAGACCCGTTTTCCTGCCACCTTATTAGGCCAATCTTGACTCTCTCCCTGCTGGTCCAGAGTTGGGTTCACAACACAAAACACACAGCTCTGGGCAAGAACTGGGCTTCCTATCCTCAGAGCTGGACCTGACTTTCCATCCTTTTCAATACCTTCCCTTTTTCCCAGCAGGTTTGTGGGCTACCCTGGCCAATATGGACAGCTCTTAGGCATGAGGAATGAAGATGTAAGTATAATGCCGCAGTGAGTCCTTGTGCACGCCAGACACTGACGGCCACTTCTCAAAAGAATTGGGCAGAGCCATGCACATGCATTTTCTTTGGCTGTACCGTAACGGTTGTCCCCGATGTACAGAGATGACGTGCAAATGCCGCAGGTGCACGCATGTCCCCCCCCTCTCATCCTGCAGTGCGGTCCTGGCGGGTGCCTCATCGAATTGGCCCAGCAGCTGTTCATCATCATGGTTGGGAAGCAGATTGTCAGCAACGTCCAGGAGTTCTTTGTTCCGTGAGTTGCCTTCTTGGGAAACGGCCGAGAGACAAGGTGGATTGGTCAAAGGAGTGCCAGTAATTGAGTGGCACTTCCCCAGCTGAGGGGGGACAGCCAGACCGAAGCGTCCTGTTTCTTTCCTTGCAGCAAGCTAAAGGCTTGGCACCAGAAAAGGAAGCTGGCCAAGGTGCGAGGGGGGCAGATCTGCCAGGAGCCCAAACGGTGGGAGGAAGACTATGAACTGATTGAATGTGAAGGCCTGTTTGAGGAGTACCTGGAGATGGGTGAGCAGGAAGGGAGAAGGGGAGTCAAGCTCCTTTGGGACACAGAGGAGCAAAAGGAGTTCGGGAGGTCTAGATTCAGGCCATCACTTGGTCCAGTGAGACCTGGAGATCCTTTCCACGAGTGGCTCTCCAAAGATCAAGAGCTACACTAATTGAGTGGCGAGCAACAGAGTTGTCCAGCCTCCCAATGTCCAAAAGATAGCTTTTCCAGTAAAGCGAGTCCAGTTATATTGGATGTTCCACTTTCGTTAGACTGAATACGTTTGGGATAACTGAAATCCTTCCAGTTCTTCTCCACCCTGATGGTTTGGTCATCCAAACTTTAGCCTAGTATGACACGCAGAGGTAAGAAAGGAAGAACCACCCAAAAGATCATCTGGTCAGTCTTGCAGACACGAGCCCTATTCCTCCCGTCGTTCCGAGGATTGCGTAGGGTTCTGCAAAACAGTGACACTAAACGTGGCCCCTTCTTCCTTAGTGCTCCAGTTTGGCTTCATCACCATTTTTGTGGCAGCTTTCCCGCTGGCCCCGCTCTTCGCCCTGCTCAATAACTGGGTCGAGATCCGTCTGGATGCCCAGAAATTTGTCTGCGAGTACCGGCGCCCCGTGGCTGAGCGAGCCCAGGACATCAGTGTTTGGTTCTTTCTCCTTGAGGTCTTGGCACAAATCTCCGTCGTTGTCAATGTGAGTCGAGAAGAAGCAGCGGAGATCCTCAAGCTACTGACCGGCAGTTTCCAAGATCCCTTTACTGGGGGGAATGTGGGGGTCCGTATCTTCTCTGGGGCTGTGAGTGAAACAGCAGAAAGCCCCCCTCGCCCCAATGACAGCCACTCCTGCCTGTTTACCCCCAGGCCTTTCTCATTGCCTTCACCTCGGACTTCCTGCCACGGCTCCTGTACCAATATGATTATGACAGCCATCTCCATGGCTATGTGAACTTCACCCTGGCTTACTCCCCACCTGCTTACGTGCACAGCAACCATACCATGTGCAGGTGAGCAGAGAGCCTCCATCGCCAGCAATCATGGTTAGGTCTTCCCCCACCCCATGATGCTGATCTGCCGTGGCCTCTCCACAGGTACAAAGCCTTCCGCGATGCTCACGGGAACTACACCCTGTTTTACTGGAAACTCCTGGCCATTCGCCTGGGCTTCATCATCGCCTTTGAGGTGAGACCCAAACACTTTTATGGACGGAGTCTGAGTAGAGAACTACTGTGTGGGACTCAGCAGCTGTGGCCTGTTGGGAGCAAGCAAGGCCTGGCTTAAGTCAAAGGAAAGCAGGCATTCCAAAAAATTAATCCTTCCGTGATGTTCGCGATTTATGTTGCTTATAGCGCCTCATTTTCCAAGGATAGCGTCAGCGTATCCTTTGGCTCGAACTTTCTGCCTGTTTAAAAAATAAAATGCACGGATTGAATACAATCATCCGTTTAAGGTAGATTTCAATGCTGTTTATTTAGTTGGCTGGGAATGTTCATTCTTGTTGTTCCAAATGTAACATCCGAAGTTTCTCAGTGTATAATCGGGGTTGGGCAAAAAAGTTTCAGCCCAGATTATTTTCACTCAAAAGCCCTCCTTATCCATTTATTTACCAGGATTTATTCAGTTGAATAATCTCTTAGAACCATCTCATTTTTTTATCCAAATAAGAGGTGAAATTTGCTGGATTATCAGCTGCCATTTGCCAAGGCATGGTCGTATTCAAATGTCAGACCTGCCAATCTGGGTAAATATTGATTATCTGCTCTTTGTGAAAGAACGCAGTTGCTAAGATTTCTGTACTCCAAAGCTGACTTAGAAATAGAAAAGACCCTGATATTGGGCTTTTGGGCACAGCCCTTTTTTTTTTTTCGGTCAAAATTTCATTTCCAAAAGAGAGAGTGGTGTTGGCTTACCTGGCCAGGTGGTCGTAAGGGCTGATGATTCGGGGATGGGCGGCCTCCCGCATGGCTCACCTCCCTCCCTCCTTCTCTGGACAGCCATTTGTCCCAAATGGTATAGGGCAGTGGTTCTCAACCTGTGGGTCGGGACCCCATTTGGGGTCGAACGACCATTTCACAGGGGTCGCCAAACAAGGCTGTCCGCCATTTTTTTTCCCCTTTTCCTTAGCTATGCTACTCCCTTTTATTCTATTGGCTTTGGAAAGCCAATAGAATACACTCTCTTGAATAGAGTCTAATTCTATTGGCTTTCAAAAGCCAATAGGAATTGTCCAGGCTGTCTCTGCCCTGCTGAGCCCGCCAAAAGTCCCATTCTGCAAACGGTGCTGCACCAGTTGAGTAGTCCTCGACTTACGACCGGTTGAGTAGTCCTCGACTTACGACCGGTTGGGGGGGGGTCGCGGCATTAAAAAGGTTGAGAACCACTGGTACAGGGTTTCCTGCCTGAGCAGGGGGATGGACTAGATGACCTCCAAGGTCCCTTCCAACTTTATCATTATTATTGTTATTATTATTATTTCCAGCACGTGGTCTTCTTCTGCTTGCGCCTGATTGACTGGCTGGTGCCGGACATCCCCGCGTCCCTGGAAGTCAAGATCAAGAGGGAGCGTTACCTAGCCAAGCAGGCCCTGGCCGACCACCAGGAGGCGCTGCTGACGACGGTGAGTCCCGACTCTTCTCCCAGCAGCTCAGGTCAGTCGGTGAGAGCAGCACAAAGCACAACGCATGTGTGTCCGTTTGTGTGTCTGTGTGTTTTGCTCCAGTGCCGAGAGAAGGGTTCAGAAGAGGGACAGGTATGGACCCTTCTTCCCCAGAGCCGGCACCACCCGGGCTTCCGCAGTCCGGCCACCTTGTGCGGTGAAGATGAATGGGTGGCTGTGCAATCACACACTCTGGCAAGTTCGGATTTCCAGCCGAGAAACTCGGGGAGACTTAGCGCCACCACCCCCCAAAATCACTCAGAATCTGCGCCTCTCTCTTCACGACGAGCTGCACCACTGTAGCATGGTGTGATTGCCCTTTGTGTCGTGGTGCAGTCTGTACTGTGATGCTTGTACCATCTGTGCTTCCATTAAGGGCAACATAATCAGAGGCAGCCTTGTGCTGAGGGGGATCTTCGTCTTCTCGGCTCCAGAAATGCCTGCGTCCAGGGCGGGGCTCTTTCCCTGGAACCGCCATCCAAATAGGGGAAAAAAACAGCGTCTCTTTCTGTCCTCTGAGGCTCCTTTGGCTGAGGATGCCGTCCTGAGGGGGTCGCCAAACAACGCAGTCCACCATATTTTCCCCCTTTTCCTTAGCTGTGCTACTCCCTTTTATTCTATTGGCTTTTGAAAGCCAATAGAATAGAGTCTCTTGAATAGAGTCTAATTCTATTGGCTTTCCAAAGCCAATAGGAATTGTCCAGGCTGTCTTTGCCCTGCTGAGCCCGCCAAAAGTCCCATTCTGCAAACGGTGCTGCACCAGTTGTAGTCCTTGACTTACGACCGGTTGAGTAGTCCTCGACTTACGATCGGTTGGGGGGGGGGTCGCGGCGTTAAAAAGGTTGAGAACCACTGGATTAAATAAACCACTTCTCCCCTTAATGCTCAACTTAAATTATCGCTTTCATTCGAGCTGCCCTTTCAGCTCCTCACCGCAAGCCTCTCGGCCGCGTTTTGCCAGAGCGGGGTGGAGATCGTGAAAGAAAAAAACGGGAGCACGCTTTTGCTTCCTTATTCTGAACAGGCCCTTCTGTTTTATTTCTACTTCTCTTCGTACAGCAAGCAGCCTTTTCTCCAGCAGTATGAATTAGCCCTGCCGGCGAGGTCGAAGCATGGGCACCAGTGCATCCCCCTCCATTTTTTTGCTCCAGTGCCGAGCAGCTCTCTCGACCGCATGGACAATGCCAGTGGGGACTGGGAGGGAAGAATTTTCCTGCAGCGGACTTTGCGAGACCCAGAAGATTGGACTAAGGAAGCCCCACGGAGACCTTGACCGAGGCTCCCAAGCTATTCTCCTGGAAACGTTTCCTGGCGGATTCTTTCTTTTCTCAGCTTCCCAGGCAAGGGGCCTCGGAGACCAGTTCTGGGACGAGCCCAGCTTGGCCTCCTTTCCGATTCCCTGCCGCCTTGGCTCCTTGGTGGCTTCTTCTCGGCCTTGCAGGTTTCAACCTGCGTCCGAAGGGCAGGGACGTCTTCAAAGAGCGAGTCCCCCCAAATAGAGCTTCAACCAAGCCACCAGAAATCCTTGTGGAAGGACATGGGTGGGTGGGGGGGAGGCTGTGGACTGTGGGAGATGTGGCACTGCCCTACCTTCCTTCGCCCCACAGCTGTTGCCGATGGCTTGGGAAGTGAAACCCAACACTCTTTTAGCACGATTTCCGTTCCCTCCTAATCCCACCTTGGGCCTTTCTGACCGTCATGACAATTCAGAGTTGCAACGGTACAGCTTGTATCGACAGGGGATTTAATAAAAGTCTGGAACGGTCTGGATCTTTTGTCTCCATGAGGGGCCACGGGAGAGTGGGGACACCTGGGGGCTTTGCTGGTGCAATTCTATAACAAAAGCGCTGGAATCTTTGATATTCCTGAGTTGCTTATTTCTATTGGAGAAAGAATATGATAGAATAGTGGTGGCAAACCTATGGCACGAGTGCCAGAGGCGGCACTCAGAGCCCTCTCTGTGGGCACGTGCGCCGTCGCCCCAGTCCTAGGCCTTCAGCTGGGTTTTATAAAACCTTTTTGCTTTAGGCCTCCGCCGCCGTGTGCAAAAAAAAAAAGGTTCAATCAATCAGTCAATTTCAACTTCTCGCGGGGAAAAAAAAAGATCTTGCAAAGTTGGAATTGATTGATTGAACTTTTTAGTCCCACCCAGTTACCATCACAGCCACACCCACCCAATGGGCCACACCCACCTAATGGGCCACACCCACCCGGCACCTGACGATGCATAAGTGGGTTTTGGGTTGCAGTTTGGGCACTCGGTCTCTAAAAGGTTCACCATCACTGCGATAGAAGGCCAAGCGAAGGAAAAGAAAAAAAAAATACGTGTCTGGCTCACTTTCTTAAGTGAAAATGCAAACAACAGGGCCCCGGGCATATGCCAAGTCCCTTGAACTTGCCATTTAGTCACTATTTAATTGAAACAACTGCACAGACTCAACAGAGTCTCCAGCTGTGATTTCCCTTCCCCTCAACAGCCAGCCCCAAAGCAGGAAGTGGGGGGCTCCAGCTGTTGCAGGCAGAAGACGGAGAGGGAAAGGGGAGCGCAGATATTATTGGAATCAGGAACACTCGGGGGGGGGGGAGGCATCAAAGATGTTCCACACCAAAGGCATTATATATTTTCTAACCCTAAAAGTGCCGCAATATTGCCGCAAAAGAAGGGGTCAAGCTATTCTCCAAAACGCCGGAAGGCAGGACAAGAAGCAACGGATGGAAACTAATCAAGGAGAAAGAAGCAACCTAGAACTAAGGAGAAACTTCCTGACCGTGAGAACAATTAACCAGTGGAACAACCAGCCTCCAGAAGCGGTGAATGCTCCAACACTGGAAGTTTTTAAGAAGAGACTGGACAGCCATTTGTCTGAAATGGTATAGGGTTTCCTGCCTGAGCAAGGGGTTGGACTAGATGACCTCCAAGGTCCCTTCCAACTACTACTACTACTACTACTACTACTACTACTACTACTTCTTCTTCTTCTTCTTCTTCTTCTTCTTCTTCTTCTTCTTCTTCTTCTTCTTCTTCTTCTTCTTCTTCTTCTTCTTCTTCTTCTTCTTCTTCTTCTTCTTCTCCTTCTTCTTCTTCTTCTTCTGTCTCCCCTATTGATTTAAGTCAATAAGCAACATTGGGTCGCTCTCCCTGGTGGAAGTGAACCGAGATTCCCAGGATTCTGTTCCCGGAAACTAAGAGCTAAACCAGATATGGGGCTTTTGTTTTGTTTAATGGAATCTGACCGGCATGATTCATGAGAGTCGAGGCTCCTTTGTGTTCCGGTTCTGTTCCCACCTGAACAGCCTCCAGATGTGCAGAAAAAAAAAACCCAACTGCTGGGAAAATCAACAGCTTCACCGGCTGAATCTCGGGGTGAAAGCGAAAGGAGGAGGGAGGGACTTAAATTGCTCCCCACTTCCCAAAGGGCAGAGGCCTTGGGCTCCCACAGGCCGAGGGCCCTTCTCTGGCTCCCAGTGAGAAATGGCAGCTGGACAAGCAAGCTAGTGGGATGCCAACATGACTGAACACTCCCTGGCCTCTTCAAAGCGGCCGGTTATTTCCGTGCCAGTCTGGAGCATGACTGAAGGGAAAAGGCAGTTTCTCCCACGCAAGAACCGGCTCAGAAGAAGCCACCACCTTCGGTCCTGCGTAGGCCAGAGCTGCCAGGAAAGCAAGAATCTGCCTTCGTCGAGAGCTTTTCACCGGTTTTGCCAAAAAGAACTAGACTTATAAACTGGAGAAGGGGGCTGCCAAGAATCCCTCCGGCCAATAAAGCCATTTCATTGCAGAGAAAGCTCAGCAACCAACCCCATTAGAAAGGCAGGAGACGCGGAGACGACAGAGGTCAAGATGCTGGCATTCCCGAAGCCTCTGCAAGCAGGTGCAGAAGGACTTGGAGGCCTGTTTGGAGAAGGACAACTTGCCCCGGAGGGTCCCCCACCTTATGGATGTCCCTGTCCCCAACTGTGCTTCCCCAAAGCAGACCCGCCAGCCAGCGTCCACCGGCCACAAACAAGCTCTTTCCCATTCTAACCCCTTGGACCTTTTTTCAAAGACACCAGTGGTGGTGGGGGGGGGGGACAGAGGCATCCTTGCAGTGGGGAGAGGGAGAAAAAGGGGGGTCTGCTCCATATAGCAGAGCCACTGAGATGTCAAAGAGCAGCCTCCCTTCTGCTGCCCTTTCTCGCCCCCCCCCCAAGAACACTCCTCCAATCTCCCTCCCACAGGGCCTTCAGGGATGGATAATTACAGGGCTGAGGATTTAGTGGAGGGAGGAGGAAGAGGAAGGAGTTAGGAGGGGAGGGTGGGGGGGGAACACATTCTGCCTCCACTGGAGGATCTCCTTTCCTGCAGATTTGGCAGCCCAGCCTTCACAGACACAAGGGGCAGCGGCTACTTCTCTGCGTCGCCCGTCCCCGACCCACAAAGGGGGGGGGGGAGCTGCTAAGCCTTGTTTTCCCCGTGCACTGAAATAAAAGCCAACAACTTTTCGCAGTCAGTGGCAGAAGAAGAAACCCTGGGAGACTTTTGTGTTTTGACAACCGAGGCACACACCAGCTCCCTTTTCCCAACAGGAGCCGAGGAGCCATCTGGTGTGGGTGTGCGTGGTGTGGGTGTTCTGCTCCCTTTTCGCAGTGTCTCCTTCTGGACTGAGAGCATCGAGCTGTGCGGCACGGAGGACGCACAAAGGCGGCTGTCCTTCTCTGCCATCGCCCAGCTGCCAAGGCCTATCAGGGACCCCGGAGCCCGCACAGAGGTCCCCGGCGATGGCGTCCCAGAATCCGGCCCCTCGGACTCCCCAGGAGAGCCTGCCCGAGGTCAGGGCGCAGCCACGGCTACGCCCGGGCACCAGGTATCCTCCATTGCCCATCTGGGCAGGCATGGTGGGAGGGGGGAAAGAACCAAGCCGTGCAGAAGATGCTTTGCTTGGGCTAGGAAGTAACCCTCCCCAAGCACTGCTGTCCAGTGTTCCTCAGTTTCCCCTTGTGGCTCTGGGGAAAAATGCCGACTTCAGATTTTGTCGCCTTAACTGATTGGTTACTTTACTATTTTGGCAGTAGAGGTCGTCCCTTGACTCAACGACCAGGATTTATCTTGCTAAACGAGACACTTGTTAAGCGCGCTTTGTCCCATTTTACGACTTGTCTTGCCACATTTGTTTTAATCACTGCAGTTGTTAAATTGGTAACCCAGCTGTTAAGCGAACCTGGCTCCCCCCCCCTCCCGTTGACTTCGCCTATCGGAAGGTCTCAAAGGGGGATCACGTGATCCCGGGACGCTGCCGTTGTCATAAATGGGAGTCGGTCGCCAAGGGTCTGAATGCAAATCGCGTGATCGCGGGGAGGCTGTAACGGTCCTAAGTGTGAACATTAGTCATAAGGCCCTTTTTAAAGTGCCATTGTAACGTTAAACCGTCACTAAACGAACTGCCGCTAAGTCGAGTTACTATGTGTATTCTTGCCATCAGCAAGACTCCAAGCTAAGCTATCCATAGGGGAAAAAAAAAAGCTTTTCGACAATACCGCTCTCCCAGTGTAATTCACCTGTGCATCTCTTGAGAACTTTGTAAAACAACAACAACAGCACCAGGAGAGGCTTGGCATGCTCCGAGGGCATTTTGCAAATCTACCGAGTGGTGGGACAGGAGGCATCTAGGATGGCCAACGTCTCCCCAGTCTCTCTCTCTCTCTCTCTCTCTCTCTCTCTCTCTCTCTCTCTCTCTCTCTCTCTCTCTCTCTCTCTCTCTCTCTCTCTCTCTCGTTTCTAGAATACTCTGGAGAAGCTCCGGAAAGGGGGCGAAGGACCATCAGCAGAGAGGATCAAAAGACGGTACGTAAATGAGCCTTTGCCCAGGGGTTGTCTCTGGGGTGGACGGAAGGATCCCAGCCGCCAGCGATGCCCGGGTGAGGCTCTCTCTGGGCAGAGGCAACGCAGCAGCACACGGAGTAACTGAGAAGGATGGGCTGGCAGGGGACCCACCGCTTCTGGAATGCTGGATTGAGTGTCTCCCTCTGTCCCGCTTTTCCGGTCAGAGCCCGTTTCTCAAACCCCTGGGATGCACCGGCCGAAGGTGCCAGAGAAGCAGCCCCGGGCCCTCCCGGTGGGTGCCGGCTTCTCCACCGCCGCCCTGCTCTCCTCCGCCCTGCTAGGGGCTGCCTCGTTCTCCCCCCAGCGGGATTACAGCTTCTGGCAAGACATCCCGGAGGTGAAAAGCAGAGGGCTGCTGGAGGGACTCCCATCACAGCAGCGCCACCTGCAGGAGGTACCCGAGAAATGCACATGGGTGGGGGGCGGGGGGGGGAAGAGAGGGCCCATGCAGCAGCCCAGGCTTCTCTGAGGCTTCCAGAACCTGAGAGAGGCTGGAGGCAAAATCTGGACCATCGGGACAACGGATCGGGTCCGAGCCCTGACTGAGAGAAGGCGGCAAAGGAGGAGAATGTCTTAATTAATAGCACCCGTTTTGTCCACCGTTTGCTGCCCTTTAGAGCAGGGCTCTTCAAACGTGGCCCTGTGATGACTCATGGACTTCAACTCCCAGAATTCCTCAGCCAGCATGAAGGAACTAAGGCCTCTTCATGACTCGTGGACTTCAACTCCCAGAATGCCTCAGCCAACTAAGGCCTCTTCGTGACGCTGGCTGAGGAATTCTGGGAGTTGAAGTCCACGAGTCATCAAAGGGCCACGTTTCAAGACCCCCTGAGCTAGAACATAAAGAGTTGGAAGGGACACCTTGGAGGTCATCTAGCCCAACCCTCTGCTCAAGCAAGAGAGTCTATACCAGGGGTCTTCAAACGTGGCCCTTTGATGACTCGTGGACGCCAACTCCCAGAATTCCTCAGGCAGCGTGCCTGGCTGAGGCATTCTGGGAGTTGAAGTCCACCAGTCACGAAGGGGCCTTAGTTCCTCCATGCTGGCTGAAGAATTCTGGGAGTTGAAGTCCACCAGTCATCAAAGGGCCACGTTTGAAGACCCCTGCCCTACGGAACCTAATCCCTCCCCGCAGCCTTGATTTGACCGGCAGCGTAGGACTGATCCCTGGGTTTGGCAAGATCCGTTTCTGCTCCCAGCAGCCCCGCCTGCCTTTGTTTCCATGGCAGGCCATGTTCGAGGTGATCACGTCCGAGGCCTCCTACCTGCGCAGCCTCCGGGTGGCCCTCTTCCACTTCCAGCTGTCTCCAGCCTTGCGTGGGGCTCTCGCCGGGGCCCAACTGCAGCAGCTCTTCTCCAATCTCTCGCAAGTCAAGGACACCAGTGAGAGGTAGGGCGGCCATCTCGCTCTTCTGCACCTCTTCGTGAACCCGCCAAGGCCTTTGGAAGCCCCCTGGGACAATCACCTGTAGGGCATCCCACACGCTCCTCTTCCTCCTCCTCCTCCTCCTCTCTGCCCCCTGCAGGTTTCTGCTGCAGCTGGAAGATCACCTGGACCAGGATGTCTTCTTGTCGGGTCTCGGGGAAGTGGTCCTGAAACACTGCCCGGCTTTCCACCGGGTTTACGTTCCCTACGTCACCAACCAGATGTATCAGGAGCAGCTCATGCAATGGCTGATGTGAGGAGCAGAGCGGACGCAGGGTGGCAGGCCCCACTGACTGGAGAGTTTGGGGGGGGGTCACAGGCTGCAAGAAAGGACTAGTAATAATAATAGTAAAGTTGGAAGGGACCTTGGAGGTCATCTAGTCCAACCCCCTGCTCAGGCAGGAAACCCTGTACCATTTCGGACCAATGGCTGTCCAGTCTCTTCTTAAAAACATCCAGTGTTGGAGCATTCACCGCTTCTGGAGGCAGGTTGTTCCACTGGTTAACTGTTCTAACTGTCAGGAAATTCCTCCTTAGTTCCAGGTTGCTTCTCTCCTTGATCAGTTTCCATCCGTTGCTTCTTGTCCTGCCTTCAGGGGCTTTGGAGAAGAGCTTGACTGCCTCTTTTGGTCCGTTGGTGGCCGGCTGCACTAGACAAAGCATCTCCTTGACGGGTCCCACAGATTCACACTCAAGACAGGGTTCAACAGAGCCGATTTTAGCTCCCATTCTATGCCCACCTTATGCCTACCTTTCCTCAGCTCACCTTTGGGGGCGTGCATTAGCGCACTGGGGCCCCCCAAAAACTTCTCTTTGTTCCCTCCACCAAGCCAGGAAGGGGAACAGCCGCTTCACGCAGGTCCTGCGCGCACTGGAGGAGCATCCCATCTGCCAGAGGCAGCCCTTGAAAGCCTTCCTTGTGTTGCCCTTCCAGAGGATCACTCGGCTCAAAATCCTACTGCAGGTGTGTGTGTGTGTGTGTGTGTGTGTGTAGGGGGGAAGAATGCATATTTCACTTACTAGTTCCAGAGCAATTTATTTCCCTTCTCCTCAAGGGCCACCCCTAAAGGTGTTTTTGTTTTAAGGTGAAGACACTTTTCTGGTGAGGTCAGCTCCTGCTGAATGCATGGATAGGACCGTGCAGAAGGGATTTTGACTCTCCATTTTCAGGGTGTTTTTGTAGCCTTCGGGTCTGGCCTGTTGTTGTTGTTGTTAGCTGCGAAGTCGTGTCCGACCCATCGCGACCCCATGGACAACGTTCCTCCAGGCCTTCCTGTCCTCCACCATCTTCTGGAGTCCATTTAAGCTCACGCCTCCTGCTTCAGGGACTCCGTCCAGCCCCCTCATTCTCTGTCGTCCCGTTCTTCTCTTGTCCTCCATCTTTCCCAGCATCAGGCTCTTCTCCAGTGAGTCCTTCCTTCTCATTAGATGGCCAAAGGACTTCAGGATCTGGCCTTCTAAAGAGCAGTTGGGTTCATCTCTTCTAGGACTGACCGGGTTTGATCGCCTTGCAGTCCAGGGGACTCGCAGGAGTCTTCTCCACCACCATAGTTCAAAGGCTTCCATTCTTTGGCACTCAGCCTTTCTTAGGGTCCAACTTTCATAGCCATACATTGCAACTGGGTAAACCACGGCCTTGACTATACGCACTTTTGTTGGCAGGGTGATGTCTCTGCTTTTTTTAGTACGCTAGATTTGCCATAGCTTTCCTCCCCAGGAGCAAGCTTCTTTTAATTTCTTGGCTGCAGGTCCCCATCTGTGGTGATCTTGGAGCCCAGGAAGATAAAATCTGTCACTACCTCCATTTGCACTTGAGTAGCAACCAGGCTTGACCCCCACCTAGTTTCCAAGACAAGATGAAGCTATCCAGGACAATCCCAAAAGGAAATCCCAGGGCTTATTTAGGGGGATAGAGAAAAGCAACGCTGCCTGGAAAATGCCACAAAGGCCTCTCCCATCTGTCCTGCATGGCAGAAACTGGCTGTGCTTGTTTGGTGACGGGGACAGAGCGCTCTGCACTTTTTGCATGGGGCCTGATGGTTGAGCCCCCGAGTAGCTGATCCCCAGGTGGTGGCTCCCTCTGGCTTCCCCGGTGAAAGGGAGCTCAGCTCCAGGTCCTTCCTTGCCTAGGAGAAGAAGTGGGAAAAGAGAACCAGGTGACCCACTTGACATGCCTGTGCTTTCTCTCCCTCCATGTCAGAACATCCTGAAGTGGGCCAGACCCGAGTCTGAGCTGGCAAAATCAGTGGGCTTGGCCCATGAGGCCGTGGGGGAGGTAAGTGCTCCCGGGGAGACCCTTCCACGTTTGGGTTTCCTGGCTCCTTCCTTCCATTTGTCCTCCCTGACCGTAAGGCTCTTCCGCCTCGGCCCAGTGTGGCGCTCCTCCGTGCGAGACCAACCTCTTCCTGCCCTTTTTCCAGATTGTGTCCCAGTGCAACGAGAACGTCCAACTCATGAAGCAGAAAGAGGAATTGGTGTCGCTGGAAAAACGGATGGACTTCTCCAAGGTCAACGTGAGTTGATCTTTCCGGCCTGTGAAAAGTTACCGTATGACCACCGTAATTTATAGATGGGAATGCTGTAGTCTGGCATAAGGGTTACGCCAGCCCGGTTTCCTTCGGGTTTCAAAGAAATAGCCGTTGTTTCTAAAAGAATATTGATCATATAAGGAACGGTTGCTAGAATTGGGTATGTCTAGTTTAACGAAGAGAAGGACGAGGGGGGAACATGATAGCAGTGTTCCAATATCTCAGGGGCTGCCCCAAAGAAGAGGGAGTCAAGCTATTCTCCAAAGCGCCTGAAGGCAGGACAAGAAGCAATGGATGGAAACTCATCCAGGAGAGAAGCAACCTAGAACTAAGGAGAAACTTCCTGACAGTGAGAACAATTAATCAGTGGAACAGCTTGCCACCAGAAGCAGTAAATGCTCCAACACTGGAAGTTTTTAAGAAGAGACTGGACAGCCATTTGTCCGAAATGGTGTAGGGTTTCCTGCCTGAGCAGGGGGTTGGACTAGATGACCTCCAAGGTCCCTTCCAACTTTACTACTACTAATACTACTACTACTATTATTATTATTAGCCACGAAACTAAAATACTTGGGGGGGAGGACAAATGAAGAGGCAGTCGAAGGTGCAGTTCTGCATTTTCACAGGCTGTCAAGCCGACGAGAATATTCTGTTCATGTTCTACCGATACGATTCTTCAAAGTGCTTGACTAACAGGATGCTGGGCAAGACAATGACTCATCCTGGTCGAATCCAGAAAAGTTGCGTCTTTGCTGTGTCCCCTTTTCATCTTTCTGCTTGCCTACGTGCCAGTGTCTCTGCCAACTGGTCCATAGGGTTGCCAGTCTTGGCAATTTTCAAGGAACAAAGTGTGTTGCCCGTTCCTCCTGCGAGGCCAGACTCAAAAAGTCTGGCCAACTATTTGGCAAGCTAAAATGAGTCTGATTTTTACTTCAAGGGGAAATAACGACGGAAATTTCAAGCCGCTGCTCTCTTTTGAAAAACACACTTGCTGAGGCTCCCTTCTTGCTTTGTTTTGGTTTTTTTGAAGGGGAAAACACACATTTCTTTGGAGGAAAAGCTGAACCGGAAGCCAAACTCCCCCGTTTAATTCTCGCAGACCCTTTCTCCCATCAGGCCCCACACCTTCCTAAGGTAGCCCGGATCCGATTCTCGGCCACAAGCCCTACTAAGAGCCCCTAGAGATGCCCACCTGGGCTGCTCTCCTATTTTCCTTAAGGAAGCTGAGCCTCCACCCTTCCTTTCTCCAGCCTCTTCCTCATTTCAGCCAGGGCCGCTGGCTGGTTCGCGAAGGAGAGCTCCGGCAGGTCCTGGTTCAAGAGGCCGGACTGGGCTATCGGCCCCAGGTCAGCATGAAGCCCATCCATCTGCATCTCTTCAACGACTTGCTGATGCTCTCTCACCTTAAGGAGTAAGTCAGAAGACCCTCACCTGGGCTATTTAGGAATCCGGAGCCCAGGGAAATCTATCCGCTAGGTCAGTATTTCCCAAACTTGACAATTTTAAGGCATGAGGACTTCAACTCCCAGAATTCCACAGCCAGCAACGCTGGCTGTGGAATTCTGGGAGTTGAAGTCCACATGCCTTAAAATTGTCAAGTTTGGGAAACACTGCGCTAGGTAGAGGAGATCCAGCCTGGCCCCAAAGGCTAAAATGCCACCCTCTCTTCTCTCCCTTCCAGAGACGGGCGCTTCTTAGTGAAGGACTACGCCTGGACGGGTCACGTCAAAGCTGAGCTTTTCAAAGCCAAACCCTTAGGGCTCCCAGGATGGACCTTCTACCTCTCCATAGCCCAGAACCACAGAGACGAAAGCAGGGAGGTGATCCTCAAGGCAGAGAGCGAGTAAGTGGTTTTCCTCTCCAGCAAACGAGAGAGATCCGTGATGTAAGACACCTTTGGTCACCTAGGACTCCAGGCCAGGGGTAGGCCACCTTGGCTCTTTTATGACTCATGGACTTCAACTCCCAGAATTCCTGAGACAGCCGTGCTGAGGGGAAAGGGAGAGGTTTCCAAGCTGAGCCATGCTGGCTCAGGAATTCTGGGAGTTGAAGTCCACGAGTCATGAAGGGGTCAAAGTTTCCCTCATGCTGGCTGAGGAATTCTGGGAATTGAAGTCCATGAGTCGTGAGGGGGCCATAGTTCCCCCATGCTGGCTCAGGAATTCTGGGAGTTGAAGTCCACAAATCATGAAGGGGCCTTAGTTCCCCCATGCTTTCGGAGGAATTCTGGGAGTTGAAGTCCACGAGTCATGAAGGGGCCTTAGTTCCCCCATGCTGGCTGAGGAATTCTGGGAGTTGAAGTCCACAAATCATGAAGGGGCCTTAGTTCCCCCATGCTTTCGGAGGAATTCTGGGAGTTGAAGTCCACAAGTCATGAAGGAGCCAAAGTTTCCCCCATGCTAGGTCAGGAATTCTGGGAGTTGAAGTCCACAAGTCATGAAGGGGCCATTTTCCCCCCATGCTGGCTCAGGAACTCTGGATGTCCACGAGTCATAAAAGAGCCAAGGTTGCCTACCCCTGCTCCAGCCTGCCACTCCCTCCGACGGATGGAGGTGATCCTTCTGGAGCAACTTAACCATCAGTGTCACACGTGGTGGTGGAAGTGCTTAAGCAACCTTGGAAGCTCTCCCAAAAGATAAGTGGCTCAGACCTAATTTGGGCTGGATGTGGCACCACCGGGAAATCTTGTGTCTTGTGTCTTCCTCGCTGAGGTACTCTCCTTTGAGCTGTCTGGCTGTTTATTTTTTTGTTTGTTTGTTTTGTTTTTCTCCCGAGGGCCCAGAGACAGGACTGGATTGCATGGCTAGCAAGCCGTTGAAACCTCGAGGCAGGAATTCCCAGGCGCCTCAGTCAGACTCTCCACCTCCAACAGGCCCTGCTGCTTCTGACGACGGCCCAAGGAGACCTTACGTTGGAACGTTGGAATGACCCAGAGAGGGCTCCAAAGCATGGAAATGGGGGTAACCCTGAGTCAAAGAGGCTTTAGGTCAGTGGTTCTCCACCTGTGGATCGGGACCCCATTTGGGGTCGAACGACCGTTTCACGGGGGTCGCCAAACAACGCAGTCCGCCATTTTCCCCCCCTTTTCCTTAGCTGTGCTACTCCCTTTTATTCACTTGGCTTTTGAAAGCCAATAGAAGAGACTCTCTTGAATAGAGTCTAATTCTATTGGCTTTCAAAAGCCCATAGGAATTGTCCAGGCTGTCTCTGCCCTGCTGAGCCCGCCAAAAGTCCCATTCTGCAAACGGTGCTGCACCAGTTGAGTAGTCCTTGACTTACGACCGGTGGAGTAGTCCTCGACTTACGACCGGGTGGGGGTCGTGGCAGTAAAAAGGTTGAGAACCACTGCTTTAGGTAAAATGGAAATTTTGATTTCCTCTTCAAAAGAGATTGGCGCGTTTCAGAGCTTTCCACAACCCTGGAAGCCACAAAGGCTGAATGGGAACAACAGGATGAGGGCGGACAATGCAGAAGCAGGCTGAGCTGGCCGTTGTGGCCTCTGAGCCAGGCAAGCAATGCCGCTCCCTTCAACATTAAACATCGGATCTTTTGCTAAAGTTGTTCAAATAAAACGGTTAGAAATTATTAAAATAAAGTGGTCTTTATTTTCACAGTTGGTAACGTTGACTTTAGCACGCTTGACCTCCTTAGATGCAGAAGATGAGATTTTTAAAAGGATCCCACGAACAAATGAGCAACAAATACAGAATAGCAAGAGGTGGAAGGGATCTTGGAGGTCTTCTAGTCCACCCCCCTGCTTAAACAGGTCTTCTAGTCCACCCCCCTGCTATACCAGGGGTGTCAAATTCGTCACGTCATGTGACGTGTCGCGACGTATCATGACTTTTTTTCCCCTTGCTGGAGCAAGGGTCCAGCTTCTGAATGACACATCCGGCCTGCGGGCCAGCAGTTTGACCCCCCTGCCCTATGCCATTTCAGACAAGTGGCTGTCCAGTCTCTTCTTAAAAGCCTCCAGTGGTGGAGCACCCACAATTTCTGGTGGCAAGCCGTTCCACTGGTTAATTTTCCTCACTGTCAGGAAATTTCTCCTTAGTTCTAAGTTGCTTCTCTTTTGGATAAGTCTGATGTCCCTCTGCCAATTTTCAAGATTGTCCTCTCTTTTTTTTTCCTCCCCAATTTTCTTTTTTCTAAGAACTATAAAGTAGCGTTTCGCATTCAGCAGAGGCTGACATACCCCGAAAGCCAGCACGCGCAAAAGAAGGGGTGCTTGGAAGATGGGACTTTCAGACCGCACAGAATGCGTCGCTGTTTAACTCCACAACTTCATGACTTTTTCATGCAGGGCAGCTGTCCGAGACAACTTAAAAAGGCAGCTTTAGGCTCCTGCCAAAGGCCAATTTCTAATTGCAGAATTAAAACCTGGACTGCAAATTCTGCTTTTCAGCATGGAATGTCCCATGCTTTTCCTGACCACTGGGGGGCAGCAGCGTTCCATCAGCCAAAGTTGTCCTGGGATAATAAATAAAGCTATAAAGATGCCCAGATAAATATGCAGGTTCAAAACTGTAAGGAAAGTTAAGTTTTCGGCTGGCAAGATACCCCACAGAAAACACGGCTGTGACTTGGGAAAAAACTCCCTTTCCTCAGCCAGGCTTTAAATTCCATTGTGAGAAATCCTAACGGAACTGCGGTTCAAGAACTTCATATTCTACAGACACAGATCTATATCCATTTAGATTTCTTTAAAGCAAGTCAGAGGCCTTTCATTCCTCCCCCCCCCCAAAAAAAAACCCTTCGCAGAAGACCTGCATTTCTTCATGTCTCTAGTTGCAGCTCTCCTCTAAGGAGATTTGTCGTTTGTGGATATTGTCAATTTAATGCGGCAAGAGAGGAACTGGCTGGGCTGGGTCTCTGGCTCTCACCAGCATCCTCAGAGGGCCAGTTGCCCAGAGAGGCAGCCCTTCTGGGGAGGGCCAGAGAGGGGCTGCTGAAGTTGCTGGAAAGAGAAGGACCCTCAAAGCCAGGGTTGGTGCACACAGTTCAATCCTGCCATGGAGAGTTGGTGTGTGTGTGTGTGTGTGTGTGTGTGTGTGTGTGTGTGTGTGAGAGAGAGAGAGAGAGAGAGAGAGAGAGAGAGAGAGAGAGAGAGAGAGAGAGAGAGAGAAAGAGGGATATATATATATATATAGAGAGAGGGAGAGATATAGAGAGGGAGAGGGAGGGAGAAGGAGAGAGGGAGGGGGGGAGATAGAGAGAGGGGAGAGGGAGGAGAGAAAGGGAGAGGGTGGAGAGGGGGAGAAAGAGAGAGGGGGGAGATAGAGAGATGGAGAGGGAGGGAGGAGAGAGGGGGGAGGGAGAGAAAGAGAGGGAGAGAAAGAAAAAGAGAGACAGAGAAAAAGGGGGAGAGAGGGAGGGGGGAGAGGGGGGTAGAGAGAGAGAGGGAGAGATGGGGAGAAAGAGAGAGAGGGAGATAGAGAGATATAGAAACAGAGGGAGAGGGAGAAGGAGAGGGAGAGAGAAAGAGAGAGGGATGGAGAAAGAGAGCGAGAAAGGGGGGAAAGAGAAAGAGAGAGAGGGGGGAGATAGAGAGAGAGAGAGAGGGAGAGAAAGAGAGGGAGAGATGGGGAGAAAGAGAGAGAGGGAGATAGAGAGATATAGAGATAGAGGGAGAAGGAGAGGGAGAGAAAAAGAGAGAGGGATGGAGAAAGAGAGAGAGAAAGGGGGGAAAGAGAAAGAGAGAGAGGGAGGGAGATAGAGAGAGGGAGAAGGGGTAGATAGAGATAGAGAGAGAGAGAGAGAGAGAGAAAGAGAGGGAGAGATGGGGAGAAAGAGAGAGAGGGAGATAGAGAGATATAGAGATAGAGGGAGAAGGAGAGGGAGAGAAAAAGAGAGAGGGATGGAGAAAGAGAGAGAGAGAAAGGGGGGAAAGAGAAAGAGAGAGAGGGAGGGAGATAGAGAGAGGGAGAAGGGGTAGATAGAGATAGAGAGAGAGAGAGAGGGAGAGAAAGAGAGGGAGAGATGGGGAGAAAGAGAGAGAGGGAGATAGAGAGATATAGAGACAGAGGGAGAAGGAGAGGGAGAGAAAAAGAGAGAGGGAGAGAAAGGGGGGGAAAGAGAAAGAGAGAGGGAGGGAGAGGGAAAGGGAGAGAGAGAGAAAGAGAAAGAGAAAGAGAAAGAGAGAGAATTTGAATTACAAGCTCATGACCCTTCTCCTGGGAGAAGGGAACACCCAAGGGTTTACTGAGCGTAACAACCCCTGTGTCAAAAAGCTAAAAGCTACCGGGCCTGTGGGAGAGAGAGAGAGGCTGCAACTTCCCCACCCCTGCATTTTGTGGGGCTGAACGGAGGGCTCCCATTCTGCTCCGTGTCCCACAGAGAAGCGGTGAGTAAATGAGTGACCAAGGATCTGCTTCGGTGAACGCTAAGGGCCGAACTGTGCCCCGGGAACTGGCCTCCCTGCTGACTATTCCAGAGCTCTCCTCCGGGGATTATGGCTCGAAGGGGCTGCCAAGAAAGGCTTGTCCGGCCAGGGTGAGATCCAACTAGCTCTGCTCCCCGTTCCCTCCGCCACACAAGGGCACCTCCAGTTCTTTGCTCACCCATCAGACTGATGATTAACCCACCTACCGTTAGCCCCAACCGGCATTAGCCGGTTCCTTTCTCATTAAGCCAGTGGTTCTCAACCTTTTTAATGCCGCGACCCCCCCCCCAAACGGTCGTAAGTCGAGGACTGCTCAACTGGTCGTAAGTCGAGGACTACTCAACTGGTGCAGCACCGTTTGCAGAATGGGACTTTTGGCGGGCTCAGCAGGGCAGAGACAGCCTGGACAATTCCTATGGGCTTTTGAAAGCCAATAGAATTAGACTCTATTCAAGAGAGTCTATTCTATTGGCTTTCAAAAGCCAATAGAATAAAAGGGAGGAGCACAGCTAAGGAAAAGGGGAAAAAAATGGCGGACTGCGTTGTTTGACGACCCCCGTGAAATGGTCGTTCGACCCCAAATGGGGTCCCGACCCACAGGTTGAGAACCACTGCATTAAGCCGTCTCCTGGGCCTAAGGGACACCCTTTTCTGTAGTAACAGAGGAGAGAGGGGGAAAAAAAAACAACCTCCATTGAGCCCAACATTTTCGTTGCTAAACGAGACATTTGTTAAGTGAATTTTGCCACGGTGGCTAAGCGAATCCCTGCAGTTGTTAAGTGAGTGACACGGTTGCTAAGTGAATCCGGCTTCCCCGTGGATTTTGCCGGTTGGAAGGTCGCAAAAGGGGGACCGCCTGACCCCGGGACACGGTGACTGTCATAAATACGAGTCAGTTGCCAAGCGTCTGGATTTTGATCACGTGATCGCGGGGAGGCTGCAACGGTCGTACGTGTGAAAAAGGGTTCTAAGTCCCTTTTTTCAATGCCATTGTGACTTTGGACGGTCGCCAAAGGAACGGTTGTAAGTCGAGAATGACCTGTGCTTACATCCGGCTGCCTTCCAGAGTCAGCTGTTGTTAGAAAAGGCTGCCCATCTTATTCCGCTATAAGCTCTCACATTTTATGAGGGAAGCACCGATATGACTGAGAGAGAGAGACAAAGGGCAAAGCCGTCTCCTTAGAAGAAAGGCAGGATATAAATCTAATTAATAAACCAAATATGGAAAAATACTTCACACTCTTCATGCACATCAGCATATGCTGACAGGCGGGCAGGGATTAGACAAGCAAAATCGCCGGAAAACAAATAATAACCGAGGAAAAAACATGTTAATTCTACGCGGGGAGGAGACGTTCTTACGTTACTGAGGGCCAAAGAGCTTGGGATATTTAGGAATGTCTCAAGCCAGCCAGGGTGAATCCAAGCAAGGCCAGAGGCGCCCCGAGAACTGCAAAAGCAGCACCCGCCCCGGATTAAATCCAAAGCCTTGTGTAAAAGAAGAGAAAACCTCACGGTGGGCCACCTCGGTTTTCCTGACACCCTTAGGCAGTTCCAGCTCCATGGAGTAGTTCAGCCAGAGGTTTTCTGCCCTCCATGGAGATGGGGCAAAAGGTGGGAACTTTCCTGGATGCTCAGCCGGTGCTCCTCTGGGGCTAAGCTGCTATTACCACCACCACCACCCCACACACACACCTCCTTCCTATCGGCTGAGGTAGCCTCAGA